GGTCGCCCTTCCAGCCGCCTACATTGAATCAAAGGGTAGGTATGGCACACATATATGACGCGCTTCAAACTTTGCTACTACCCCGTTAACCATGTTATGAAACTCGTCCACTTTTCTGCAACCCGCTCGCGGCGAAAGGAGCATCGCGTGCAAATGGTGCAAAAAGTCCTACACCCACGTTAGGCATAAAAAGTCACGCCCCCTCTTGCATCTCCTACCTTGTCTGCATGCGCACTGTGCGACAAGCTGTGGGGCGTCATTTGCGGACGAGTTGTTCGGCACAGCGAAGCACAATTGAGCACATTTTGATGCATGACACGGATGATCCTGTGAGTCTTCCGGAATCGGTTGATTCGATCGAGTACAAGCTGCAAACACAAGGTTTTCCTAGCTGCATAAAAGTCTCCCGAATAGTCCCTCTCACCTTTCAAACTGAAAATGCTTCTCTCCTCTCCAGAGAATTCACGGATAACTCGTCCAGTGCCGCCATTGCGTTTGCTGATGCGTCGTATAGAGTATGGACGCTGATGCACATAGTACAAATGATCGCCCATAACAGTCAATGCGACCGGGATCGGGTTGTCGACAGGCAGGGCAACGACCTGGAATTTACGAGATTTTGGAGCTCTAACTCATGTGTCGGTGACGTCAACATTCTATTATACCTTGGTGCCATCGAAATCCATGCAACTGATCATTTTCAAGAGCGTGTCTCCCCAGCAAACTCGGTCCTGCTCGAAATCTATGGCCATTTCGGACGGACGTCCAAGCGTGGTGTTACGGATCATCAAGCAGTTTGTGCCATCCATATGGCATCTAAATGGTGGACATTTACGGGCATTCCATTTCTCGCAAAAGCCCAGAATTTAAGGATGAAATTGATTTCAAAGGCAACTTCCACCTAAATTGGGGATGGTGAGATGATGCTGTATAATGACAGAGCCCTCAACTAAGTAAACGCCCAAGTCCTGCTGCAAAAGACGAATTCCTAAGGAAAAGAATGGCTCCACAAGATGTAACGCTAAGGTGGCTCCGCCCACCAACATGGGTGGTCTGAAGTTAGCAAGACCACTGCTGGGCTTTGATCCA